CTTGGACTGCAAAGAGATCCAACCAGTCCATCCTAAAGGAAAGCAGTCCTGAATATTCATTGGAAGGACTGATACTGCAGCTAAAGCTCCAATACTTTGGCCACCTGATGTGAAGAGCAGACTCACTGGAAAAGATTTTGATGCCGGAAAAGATTGAAGGCAAAAACAGAAGAGGGTGGAAGAGGATGAAACAGTTAGATAGCATCACTGACTCAGTGGATACGAATTTGAGCAAACTCTGGGAGATGCTGAAGGACAAGCAAGCTTGGCATGCTGCAGTCCATGGAGTCAGAGAATAAGACACAACTTAGCGACTGAACAACAATAACAACACATGGGGTATGAGTAAAAATTCCAGTTGGAATTTAAAGAAGCCAAACAAGCTACCTGAAACTTGTCCCAGTCCTAAAGAAGGAGATGGGCCAGCTAAATAGAAGTCCAGATCCACCCCTGGTCCCCACTCCTTCAAGCCTAGGCTGGAGCTGAGTGAGAGAATCAGGTGTGGGTAAACTCACATTCTCTTTAGTGGTTACATGAAATTTCCCCCTAGGTCCTCAATATCTGGTGGTGAGCTGACTTTATCATTTGACTCTGCTCCCAGGAGAATTGTTGAAAAAAGAAAGTTGGCGGAGATTTACAGCTACCTTTTCTTACTAGCTGGGTGGTTGAGCTTGGAAAGGAATGAGAACCATTCCATTCACACACAGAGGAGCTGTTCCCTAGCTGACATGATGAGGGAAATGGTGGTTTAGAAAGAATCTTAAAAATTACTCAAAGATGATTACAGGCTGCCACTGAGAAATGAGGAAGGAAAGGCTTTCTTTTCGACTACAGGGTGTAGAGTCCTACAGCCAGAAATTATTATTTTATATTGAGGGCAATGGTAGTCTGTATGCCTTTGAAATGTGAAAAGCAATAATAACTTATGCACCTGGTATGACTTATAAGGCATCAAGATAGATTATACAGCCTGGCCATGAAAACGAGGCTCCTGACTTGATAACATTTTATAGTTGATGATTCTGAAGGCCCTGCCATCAAAAATAGTCACTGAGTGCCAATCACAGAACACTGCCCACAGTGGATTTAGAGTATCAGGCCAGAGGGCTGTAACTGGGCGCATCACCTAAAGGAGGACCATAGGACAAGTCAATGGTGGGTGCGGCCTCTGCTATGCTGGAAATGAGTGACATGGCCAAGTTTTTCAGGCGTTCACAGGCACTTCATTGAGGAACAGAATTTCTGAAAGAGCACATACACCAAAATGGACATGATTTCACTCAAAGATGCAAGTCACTTTGTTGCATATTTAAAATATGCAACTGAAAATGAACGTATCTATGAAACAGAAACAGACTCACAGACATAGAGAACAGACTTGTGGTTGCCAGGGGCGAGGGAGGGATGGATTGGGGTTTGGGGATTAGCAGATGCAAACTGTGGTACATTGAATGGATAAATAACAAGGTCCTATGACCAACCTAGATAGCATATTAAAAAGCAGAGATGTTACTTTGCCAACAAAGGTCCATCTGGTTAAGGCTATGGTTTTTCCAGTGGTCATGTATGGATGTGAGAGTTGGACTGTGAAGAAAGCTGAGTGCCGAAGAATTGATGCTTTTGAACTATGGTGTTGGAGAAGACTCTTGAGAGTCCCTTGGACTGCAAGGAGATCCAACCAGTCCATCCTGAAGGAGATCAGACCTGGATGTTCATTGGAAGGACTGATGCTGAAGCTGAAGCTCCAATACTTTGGCCACCTCATGGGAAGAGTTGACTCATTGGAAAAGACTCTGATGCTGGGAGGGATTGGGGGCAGAAGGAGAAGGGGACGACAGAGGATGAGATGGCTGGGTGGCATCACCGACTCGATGGGCATGAGTTTGAGTAAACTCCGGGAGTTTGTGATGGACAGGGAGGCCTGGTGTGCTGCGATTCATGGGGTCGCAAAGAGTCAGACATGACTGAGTGACTGAACTCAACTGAACTGATAGCACAGAAAACTATATTCAATATCCTGGGATAAACCATAATGAAAAGAATATGCAAAAATGTGTGTGTATAAATGAATCACTTCACTGTACAGTAGAAATCAACACAACATTGTAAATCAACTATACTGCAATAAAATTAGTGAAAAAATGAATGTGTGGAAGTTTGTTCTTGGTTAGATGTTGAGAAAGTAGGCTGGGAATCATCTGCAGCAAAGGTATCCTTTGATGACTTATTTCCAAGTCCTCATCAAGGCCTTCATTTCGCATCCCTCCTCCTTCTCATGTCCTTCACAACTTTTGAAACAGTCAAAGCATAATAAGAGCACATTTTAGTTAAGTGTGGGCTGCCACATAAACATACATGTACATCCTTGATTATCTGGACAGAGCTATACATACCTGTATATATAAATATAATAAATATATAAAAATAAATATATAAATATACAGGTATATTTTGTATTTAAAGATGAACCCTGTGAATCACCCCAATCCACCCTTGCCTCCAGTTTCCCTATTTCAGGGAGGTATCAAAAGGCTTCTTCAACTTGCAAGAGTTTCTGTTTCAGTTTGACTGCTCTTAATTTCTGAGCCCAACACCAAGAAAGAGTAATGAGGTCAACAGCGCCAAGAGTAGCTATGAGCTGTTTCACGTCACACTACTAAGCAGTTGGGATACTCTCTAATCACCCTAAAAAAAAAAAAAATCACCAAATAGGCTCTAAACTAGTATGAATTAGGCATTGTCAGATTTCCTGAGTTAACTTCGGACATGTCACAGTTTAACATATTATATATGCTACTCTACTAACACTCTACTCTTAATATTTAGTGATTCTATGGCATGTGAAATAAAATTCTAGGTGTGTGAAATAACTGCAGCTGGAAATTTTTACATCAAAAGAAAATACCATTGCTCCAGTAAAGAAAGAATTAAAGCATAAAGATTATATTACTTTTTATTTAAACTCTCTTTGCTGGTACCTAAAAGTAAAACCTTATAAACTATTCATCTTGTCCAGCTCAAGATAAATTTGTGGAATAATTACTCTAGACCAGTTCTTGGGCTAGACATGAGGGGATAAAAAGGATTTTTAAAAGATTAATCTATGGCCCCTGACTTTAAAAAGTGAACTGAAAACAAATACCTTTCTAAGAGTCTTTTCAGACTTTAAATAAACATAAAAATACCATAGACTGAAAAATATCTCAAGGTTTTTCTACGACCAGGTTAGAAATTAAGATACATTTAAGGGAGGGAGAATAAATTAAAAATTAAAACATACTATCCTTTCAACCATAAAAAGAAATGAAATTCTGATACATGTTGTGATGACTCTTGAAAACATTACTCTAAGTGAAATAAGTCAGATGTGAAAGGAAAAATATTGTATGATTCCATTTATATGCAGTATCTAGTCTAGGGACATATCTAGAGGAAAGAAGTAGGTTAGAGGTGACCAAAGGTCGGGGCAGGAGAGAATAGGGAGTTACTGCTTCATGGTTACAGAGTTTCTGTTTGGGGTGATGAAAGTTTTATGAGTACACAGTGGTGATGACTGTTTAGAATTATGAATGTAATTAATACCACTAAATTGTACTCTTCTAAATAGTCAAAACAGCAAATTTTATGCTATATAAGATTCTTCTATAGCTTAAAAAAATGAATAATGCAATGTACCAGAAATTATTGAATTGTATCCTTTAAATGGGTGAATTGTATGGCATGTAAATTATATCTCAATAAAGCTTTTGAAAAAAAATCCCTCACTTGTTAGCATACTACTTTGTCATCTTGTAAAGCTCTGAATATTCTTAAATAAATGCACCAGGAGCACAACCAGGTGATCAACGTTTGAAACACTACAGCTCACATTTCTTTCTGATTTTGCCAGATGTTACCAGTGATCACTAACTCTTTTGGCACTTTAGAACACAGCAGAGCCTTCTGTCTTTTTCATATCCGGTTAAACAACGAATTAATTATCTTGCCATGAATAAGCATATAAGACTGTGTTCACAGTAGTCTCTTGACTTGATTCATTTTGAATCCCATCAGCGTGAAAATTATGGTCGGAAACCACTATCAGAACAAAACAAATTGTAACATTGAATTTTCATACCTCTCAACTGTAGGTTAGCTAGAGACCAGAGAAAGTCAGTATCTAGAAAAATGTGCAGCACATACACCATTTGTTGAAATGAAGGGAGAGTCAGCCATTACTGCTTGGAACCTCTCAGAGCTCTGAGTCAGACAGAAGCCTTTTGAGGGGTAGCAGGCCAACTCAGAAAGCCCTCGGGAGTCGATTCTTTCTGAGCTCATCCCTGCTTCCTCTGCTGGCTCTGTGCTTCTCTCATAGGTCAAACATCAGCAAGACCAAACAGTTCTCTTCTAAGTATCCTTAAGAAGTCCAAGATCTAGACAGAATAGAATGAGGTCAGGAATTTCCAAAGTTTTTCATTCCAAAGGAAATTTCTTTCAAAAAAGGCCACCAAAGCCTTTAGAGTGAAGTTAACAGGCAAGCTACATTGTGGTCACGAGTTCTATTGCTGCCGCAGAACAACAGTAACAGAAAATAAAAATAATTAATGAGGAAACCCAGAAGCTAACTACTTTTACCATTTCCCACACCAGAAGTACCAAAGTGATACAACTTGGACCAGAATTTGCCAAAAGCCAGTAAACTTTTCTGTCCTACTAGTCAAATATACATATCATAGAACCAGTATACAAGTTAAAATAAAAGCTTTTGAAGGAAAATAGGTGAGATGATGATCTTTCATTGGGCAACCGCTGAAGGTCCCTATGTCTTTGACTTAGAAGAGAAAATAAACCTTCCACCAGTGAGTTAGCCATAATTTATAATAACCTGAGAAGAAAAACAGACTGAAGATGTATCAATTCTCTTTGAAGGGGAGTGTGTGTGGGGAAGCTCCTAAGCTCATTATCACCTTCCTGAACGCTTTAAAAAGAAAACTATGCAGTCATGGCAGTCACAAACCTACCTCGAGTCTGAATTTCATCTTGGCTCTGAGGGATAAGAAGCTTGGATTCTGCCCTTCGAGGAGAGCTTCGATTTCGCCACCCTCTGACCAGGGCCCCCACCATGGTTGTGGACAGCATGTCCCCAGGTGGCCGCAGCCTGCTGGGTGACCGGGACGGGTGGACAGCCCGGTGTGGCGGCCACCGTCGGGAGGATTCCGTCCACCTGTGACGGAGCTACACCCCAGACAGACAGGTCCGGGCAGTTCACCCGCCTTCGGCCTCCACCCACACACTCATCCTGTGCTGCGGATCCTCCTTCAGGAGGCCCAGGGAAAGTGGGAGATGAGACGAGCAAGGGCAGAAAACAGAATAAACAGAGAAGAGCAATACGCAGACAGCCCATTTATAGGAGAGGATGCTCGGGATGACAGAAGTGCCGATCTCCTGCAGGGAAGTGCTTTGATCTTTTGACTCTTCATTTTTCACTTAAAGAAATAAAGTCTACTTTTTCAACATTTAAAAATGACTATTTTAATGTACCTGAGATAAACCATAATAGAAAATATTATGAAAAAAATATATAAATATAACTGAGCCACTTTGTTATACAGAAGAAATGAACACAGCCTTGTAAATCAACTACACTTCCATAAAATTAAAAAAACACACACACAAAAAAACCAAACCTACATCAAACAGACAAAAGTGACTAGATGTGGGGCGGGGGCATGAACATGAGTATCTATTTCTCTTTTCCCAGCTTATTATTTCTCCTAAATTGGAACAGCTTTCAGGCAATTGTTTTTCCAAAAGAGAACCAGTCGTCTAGATAAACAGAATTTGTTTACAAAATGTGAAAAGTATTTCTAATGTCTGAGTGTTCATGTCACAGAATTATATCAGCTTTTGTGGATGACAAAAGTTGATTAAGGGAATTTAATAAAATTTCACAATTATGTAAATACTCAAGAACTTAAAAAAAAAAAAAGAATTGATTCCAATGACCTAATTCTTTTCTGTCTCCTGTTGAGCTAGTTGGAATTGCCTCAGACTGAGAAGATGGGACCTGCGTGTCGGGCATAGAGTACACTGCTCACCTATGCCCCCTACTGGTCAAGATGCCAGGTGCGCATCGGTTAGAGACCAAAGCTTGCCTTAAACCTGGGGCGGTGGGGGGCAGGGGGGTCAGGCAGTAGAAAATTCTAGAATCCCTTGGAATACTATATTCACTCAGCCTGAATTAATTGTAGGCAGGCTGGGTCTTTTGATATTATTTTCTGTCTTTATGACTGCTATGGATTCCACAGATGGAGAAGACTTTGCTCTACTTCTCTTCCTCAGCGACACTTTATCTGATAAGATCAAGGTTGTTTTTGCAGGAAGCAGGCAAATTCCCCCAAATCCCTCCACAATCATCCCAATTCTTTAAAAAAAAAAAAAAAGCCTCCAGTGTACTAAAAAGCAGTAGCACTTTGGGGCTACATATTTTACATATTCATTTAGTTGAACTTTCCCTCATTTGCTAATTATTCTGGCTTTTCCAAACCGTAGAAAAACTCTGGTATCATGGCAGACGGAGGGAAGGTAGAAACGAAGGATAGGGACTTGAAATTGCCTGAGAGCAGGAAGCTGTCATCTCTGATCTCTGCTCCTGACCTCAGGAGGTGTTCAGACACACATCTGAGGCACAGGGTGGGGTCACCCTGGGGAGGCACAGTGTTTGCTGAGAGGGACCAGTCTTGTGTCCTCCCTGCTTCCTTACTGGAGCAGGGCTCCCTCTGCCCTGGGCAGTTCCCTCCCCTCCGCCACCGAGGGCTCAGCTGGGATCTGCTGGGAGAGGCACTCAGGAAACAAAGCTATCTTCCCTTCAGGGAAAAGAGCAAAGAGGCCTTCAGCAGTCTCTCAGTTCCTGTGACCCCCAGAGTCACAAAGACAGCTGAACCCGCCTTCTTCTGGGGACACTCCCCGGGGAGTGGGATGGCCTCAGGGAAGGGCAGCAGGGGAGCCTGGTGCTTAAGCCTGGGGTCTGGTCTTAGCCGAGAGGCAGGGGTCTTGAGGATGCCCCAGAGTCACTTGGAATTCCTCAGGGGACAGTCAGGAGGCAGGAACACAGTGTGTGTTTACCCTGAATCATCTCTCGGTGGAACGCTGCCCCAGTCGTAGGAGGCCGGGTGGGCTTGGAGTGCAGGCCGGTAGGGATTCCAGGAGCCCATGAGGATGAGCAGAAGCTGCCCGGCCTCATCCTCAGGGTGAGGTGGTGGAGATAACACAGTGATGCTGAAAGCAAGTGATCAGCTCCATGAAGAGCTAACGCACAGAACACTCTGTCGTCCTCAGTTTGCTGGTGGTAGCAGGTGGACGCTCAGTAGCCACGGTTTTCCCCGACAGGAAGCTGAGCAATGGCCAGGACTGCTGTGGGAAACGTGGTCAGGAAGAGGAAGAAGAGTAATGTCCTGCCTGTGGAGGGCAACCCCACCCTTCCCAGGTCCTACACATCCACTTCCTGAAAGAGACCCGCCAGAGGCCACCGGTGCACCCGCCAGGAAGCGAAGGACAACGCGAGCCCATGAGGTCATCTCCCCCGTCAGACTTATTATAAGACACCCTCCCCCTGCACTCCTGAAACGGGGCACTCCGGAAGGAAACACACTCTTTCTTTAGACAGCAGCTCTAGAAACCCAGAGTCATGCTGAAGGCTCCGGAGAAGCCAATATACGTCTCACGATAAACTCCAGCTCACGGGTATTTGCTTCTAATTTCCTATGGTATCCATGAGTTAACAACTATTTTCTAAATTTCAGAAACGTCAGTACTGTCCCCACCTACCTTCTGAAGAGCATGAGAGCTGAACTGGCCACATGCTTCTTCCTAACGTCTCAGGACCTGGTTCTGGTCACACAGAGGGCTCTTGGCAAGTGCTGATTGTGTAAAAGGCGACAAGCTGTGATGATATGGCTGTCAGCTACTAAAAGGTGCCCTGAGCGACCAGAACCAAGAATAGCTTCCATCTCTGGAGCAAATATATATTTTGTTGCTGTTCAGCTGCTAAGTCATGTCCGACTCTTGGCAAGCAAATATATGACCTCCCACTATTCTTTCAAGAAGGAGCTACTGGGTGGAGGACTGGCTATGTGGAGAATTTCTTCCATTTGAGTGGGGCTCCAAGAGCTGCTGATCTCTCTCTGACTCCTTATATACATTTCTCTTGGGGGCAGAGAACAGGAATTAGATTCTGATTCTTTTGGCAGAGGGCTGCCTACCCACAGGTGGCACCGGTTTTACTTTCCTTGCAGGAAAGCTCCGCTTCTACGTGGGGAGGCTTGTCCCTGTTCAGCCCATTGGGAAGGTCCCCACTGGGTGGGAAGGTTTCTGAGGCTGAGTTTAGTATCAGGATGCTCACCTGCTCACAGGTATAAGACACAATCTCCAACATTGGTTTTATCGGTAACAAAGGTGGAGGTTTAGTCTCCATCTGCCTTGCTCCTTTGTTTCCAATTCCAAATTGGTTCAGAACTTGGATGGAAGGAGTTCCCCCAAGTCCCAACATCTAGTGGGATGGCTCTAGGATGTGGCATTTGGGAAACAACTCCTGAAGATTGATGCTTCTGGCAGACACTGTACAAAGTATGAGCCACTGGTGTTTACCTGCAATTTACTGCAAATTGTTCTGTGCTCCTGTTGGCTCTTATGGTCAAGCCATTGGCTTCTGGGTGATCTGGTGAGCAGCTCTGAACCTCATCTCATGTGCAGTGTTCTATCCTCATTTCTTACCTCTAAGTGCTAACAACAAGCTAGGCTGAATGGCTCTGAATTGACCCTGTACTCAAATCCACCAGGCACTATAATATAAATCCCCTGTGCTGTGTATACAGTCTGCAGCATCATAGAGGTCACACACAGGGGAAAAAAATTCAGCACATGTTGCTAATTACCAGCTGCTAATGCTGATAATCCTTCAAAAATGTATTTGTGAATTCACATCGAATTTGGATTCTCATATACACAAGCAGGTCTTGGTGTTTAGAGATGTTAATTAGCTGTCCAAGGCATCTCTTCTCTATCCGCCCTAAGAGTAGGAAGATGTGCTCAGACTTGCCCATCTAAGAAGTTGTTCCCTTGATTCTCCCAGTGTCCTCCTCCTCCAGCTATAGGTCTCTTCTCCTCAAGAGTTAGGGTTAGGGTTAGTAAAAAAAATCACAAATGGGTTATCTGTGCTTCTCTTCATTTCTTCCCCAACTCAAGTCCGATCCAGTTTTCCCCTCACCCTCTCCAACCACCCGAACAGTTCTGTGTAGTATAATGCTTCCTAATCCCACTGGTATTTATCAGTCTCTTTCTCCTGTAACTTGTTGGCAGCACCTGACACTTCTGGCCACTCCTCTCTTCTTGAAGCTATGTATTCCCCTGGGGACCTCAATTTCTTATAATCCTGTTTTTCCTCCCACCTATACTGACAGCCCTTTTTCAGTTTCCTTTGCAGGACCATCCAATCACTGATTTTTACCTGTGGCCCAAACACCTGAGCAATAGACCAGTACATCTAAGTGACTATTTGATATCTCAGATTTGAAATTTCACAGGAAAGTGAATGTTACTCCCATTTGCAGGGATATAGCAGCCAGAAAATCTGGAATCATCTTTTCCACTTTTACTCCAGAAAGTCAAACTATTACTACCTCCAATTTTTTTTTTTTTTTTTTTGGAATTTGCCTGCAATGAAGGAGTCATAGGAGATGCAGGTTTGATCCCTGTGTTGGAAAGATCCCCTGGAGGAGGGCATGGCAACCCACTCCAGTATTCTTGCCTGGAGAATCCCATGGACAGAACAGCCTGGTGGGTTACAGTCCACAGGGTTGCAAAGAGTCGATCACGAACGAAGCAACTGAGCACGCACGCACAACTCTCTCTCAAATGGCACTTACTTTCCTCTATCTTTACCCTGCTCATCTACCATCTGTACTAACAGAATGTCCCTCATGGAGGGTGTAGGACTGTTGCACTACAAACTTTTTAAATTGTAAATCTGATGTCACCCCACCCTTATCGCATCAACTGAAAACTCTCTCATGCTTTTTCATTCTTCAAAGACAATAACCAAATCTTTGACATGGCCTCCAACACCTGGAAAGTCCAGTCTC